GGGCAGAATTGTTGAATATTACAACTAACAAAACAGTGATCAGAGATGTAATAGTTAGACTGAAGATTGGTTACACTAGCAAGTTTGTCTTCTTTTTTTGGTGATGATCAGGTCAATAATATGCCCACTAGAATGAGTTGGAGTATTCACATGCTGAACAAGTCCATATGATTTCAAACATTGTTGGAATTGCTTGGTGTAGCAGTCTGATTGCATGTCCATATGAATATTGAAGTCCCCAAGAATTACCATGGACCTAGATTGAGATGAAACTTGTTCTAAATATTCAGTGAATTCAGTCATGAATGTAGCTTGAGTGACCGGGTGTTTTGCAGTATATGGCGGTCTATAAATGCCAACGATTCTAAGTATGAATGTTTGGATACATATTTGCCATTCAGCACATTCAAATGATTGATACGATTTGCTGGGTAGACTTGACACTTTCAGGTTATCTCTGTATAGAAGGCCTATTCCTCCACCACTACGATCAGGCCTGGGTACATCATCAAAGCAGAACCCTTTCTGAGCCAGTTCACCCCTAACAACATCATCGCCATCAGTCTGTAGCCAAGTTTCCGTTATTAAACAAAAGTCAATATTCTTTTCAAGGATATGCTGGAGAAGATCTGCCGATTTATTCCGTATAGGTCTTGTATTAACTGTGGCAAGTTTCATTTTTCTCTGTCTATGGACATTTTGTATGTATGTGTGATCAAGTTTAATTTGAACTAAGTTTGTCAAATGAACAAATCCTTGGCTGGCCTGCTCGTTTACCTCTATATTTCAAAATACCATAATTTTTCAACAAAGATAACGTTTCTTCATTTGGTATAACATAGCTTCTAGGCACAGATCTACAATCCAATAATTGCTCTCTATTGTACTGTCTCACTGTCATTGTACATGGATTAGCCATGACTTCAGGTGATTTGGTGTTCAACAACACAATTGATATAATTACACTGTATATCCAATATTTCCAATATTTGTTATTTTCAAACTTTTTCAATTCAAAATAACTCATAAATCCAAATATAAATCATAAAATCAATTTCTGTAACATGTTGGTTACAAGTTTATAGATGTCCCTGCCAAAAATCCAGACCCAAAAGCAGCTTGTTCAAGCATAATTAATCAAAGTTTGAAGAGCATAAAAATTGCAGCCTGCATATGGCGCACTATATATAGACAAATTTTTACCACTAAATGAAAAAGACATAATCAAACTTGTGAGTGAATCAAAGTCAACAACATGTGAGTTGGACGTTATGCCAACACCAAAGCTGAAAGAAAATCTTCATTTGATTGCACCTGTTGTGACAGAAATCGTGAATCGGTCATTGTCTTCTGGTGTTTTTCCAGAGACGTGGAAGAGCGCTGTTATTAAGCCCCTTTTGAAAAAGAAAGGCCTTCCCTTAGAATTGAAAAACTATCGGCCTGTATCAAACCTGTCATTCTTGTCGAAAATTCTTGAAAAAGCTGCAATGAACCAAATTTCAAGCCACATTGAGTCCAACAATTTGTTACCATCTTACCAAAGTGCATACCGTAAATTTCACAGTGTTGAGTCTGCCATGATGAAAATGTACAGTGATCTGCTAGAAACAGCTGATAGCCGCCATGTGACAATAGTTGTAATGATTGATTTAAGCGCCGCCTTCGATACTATCGTTATACCAATATTACTTGAAATCCTACAGAAAGACTTTGCCATACAGGGTATTCCATTAAAGTGGATCGAATCTTATTTAACCAACAGACATATGAAAGTTGTCATTGAACAGTCCTCATCGGATACTGAGCCACTGAGGTTCGGGGTTCCCCAAGGTTCTTGTGCTGGACCGGTGATATTTACTCTCTATATAGCTGCCCTTAACAAAATAGTCCAGAAATATCCGGCGGAATTGTATGGATATGCAGACGAACATAAAGTGGCATTTAAAATTAGAGCTGGTGACCATCACAGCGAAGAAATCGTTCGCCAAAAACTCACTGACTGTCTTAATGATATTGTGTCATGGATGACTAGATTTAAGTTAAAAATGAACAATAGCAAAACAGAAATCATCATTTATGGTACAAGACATCAGCTGAAGAAATTGAACATTTCCAGTGTCAATGTTGGTGGGGTCGAAGTCAACTGTGTTGACAATGTGAGAGACCTTGGAGTACAGATGACCAGCACTTAAAGTTTTGACATCCATATTCAAAAGAAGTGTCATATTGCACACATGCAGATAAGAAATTGGAAAGCAATCAGAAAACATCTCACTCATAAATCTGCAGAAATACTTTTTCACGGTTTGATTCATTCACATTAAGACTTTTGCAATGGATTATTCGCTGATATTCCAGCCTATCAACTTGATAAATTACAACGTGTGCAGAATTATGCTGCTAGAATTGTCACTGGAGCTGCTTACTATCAATCCAGTGCTGAAATTCTTAAATCACTCCACTGGCTTCCAATTCGAGCAAGAATCATGTACAAAGTTATTGTGACTGTGTTTCGTGTTGCAAATGGCACCGCTCCATTGTATCTTCGTAAATTGTTCACTAAATGCCAGAGTTAGTACAGGAAAAGACTGAGATCCTCATCATCTAGCCACATTTGGTTTGATATACCATCAACAAATTCAAAACTTGCTGACAGATCCTTGGCCATTGTGGGACCTAAATGGTGGAATTCATTGCCAGACTATCTGACGGACATTACCAATGAAAATCAGTTTAAGGCCAAACTTAAAACATACTTGTTTGGACTGTTTTTCAACTAGAGTTGTAGATTGGCTGAGCCATCGAGACTGGGTTTGGGAGTGTCTTGATCAAGCATATGTGTATATAGTCTTAATAATGTACAGCGCAATCGAATATTTAATACATTTTTGCGCTATATAAATGTCTTGTATTTGTATTTATTTGTATGTTATGTCAATGATATGAGTATTAGTATTAGCAAAAAATGTAAGCTTATTCTTTATGCAGATGATAGTGCAATTTTATATTCACATAAAGATCCAGATGTTATTTGTAATGTTTTGGGTAAGGAACTAGAAAATTGTAGTAAATGGCTTGTTGATAATAAGCTATCATTACATCTTGGTAAAACAGAATGCATTGTTTTTAGTTCTAAGAGGAAATTGTCAAAACTAGAGCAGTTTAAAATACACTGTAATAATCACACAATACAATCTCAGCCATCAGTAAAGTATCTCGGTTCTATCTTAGATAATGATCTCTCAGCCACTTCTATTGTTGATAATATAGTACAAATAGTAAACTCTCGATTAAAATTTTTGTATAGACAAGGCAACAGTTTGAATATGGAGCTAAGAAAACTATTATGTAACTCTTTAATACAGTGTCACTTCAATTATGCCAGCTCATTTTGGTATAGTGGCCTTACTAAACAACTTAAACATAAACTTCAAGTAGCACAAAACAAAGTTGTTCGTTATATTCATGGTTATTCCTCTCGAAAATCATTGAAAGTTATTGATTTTAGCAGTATTGGGTGGCTTAATATAGAAAATAGAGTCATACAGTTAAGACTCAATCATGTACACGAAATATTTAATAAAAAGTGTCCTTCTTATATGTATGATAACTTTTCTTTAAAGTCTGATGTTCGTTGTTATAATAGTAGAAACAGTGTAGGGAACTTTCATATACCCCATGTTAGGTTGGTCTCAAGGTCGTTGTGCGGCGTGCACCTGCTTTCAGATCGAGAACGTTTAGATTTATTTTTCTCTGGTATTTTAGCAGTTCCTACTGCCTACTCCCGGTTCTATTACATCCTGGACATCATAGCTTAACATCCCAGTCTAGTTTACGTCTTGCCTGCCTACCATCAGGCTCAAGAAACGGTTTTTCATCACCCTCCTTTGTTCCTAACGTAAACAACCGGACTTCCGGTCACCATTATTTGGACATTTCCTGATTCGGATACGGACTATAGACCACAAAGCAAAGCATCTACTTATGAGTATTTGATCCGTACAACTGTCTAACTTTTATTAAAACACCAGATTAAACTTGTACCTGGTCAAAAGTGACTCTTATGCAAGAATTTTCCAACTTCCAGCATATTCAATGTAAGCACTTGTAGCAAATTTCGGACAAATTTATTTCGGATATGTAACTTACTTCACCATGTTTCTCCTGACATACACGCTACTAGCTCTAAGCAGCTTCGGTCCTCCACCCTTGGGATTATCCTACGCAGAACCTACTAACTGGAACCTCCATGCCCACCAGCTTTTATTGTCAGGTGACCGTCACCCAAACCCAGGTCCTACTTACAAGGTTCCCTGTGGAATTTGTGCCAAGCCATGCAAAAGTAACCAGCACGCTGTTGCCTGTGATAGTTGTAACACATGGTACCACATTAAGTGCACCCAGATGTCTCTTGCTGTATACAACGGACTCACCCAGAACACTAGTTGGATCTGCTTTACATGTGGTATACCAAACTTCTCAACAACACTATTTGAAACCCTGTCAGCTGATTCTATCAACACATCCATTGCAATAAACAACTCCTACAGTGTACTGTCAGATGGCCCCACCAACCCGGACTCCAACCCGGACTCCTCCTCTCACAGTTTCTCATCAGTCAGCTCAATTGGATCTCCACAACACACCTCGTCACCGGTCCGGTCACCATTATTTGGACATTTCCTGATTCGGATACGGACTATAGACCACAAAGCAAAGCATCTACTTATGAGTATTTGATCCGTACAACTGTCTAACTTTTATTAAAACACCAGATTAAACTTGTACCTGGTCAAAAGTGACTCTTATGCAAGAATTTTCCAACTTCCAGCATATTCAATGTAAGCACTTGTAGCAAATTTCGGACAAATTTATTTCGGATATGTAACTTACTTCACCATGTTTCTCCTGACATACACGCTACTAGCTCTAAGCAGCTTCGGTCCTCCACCCTTGGGATTATCCTACCATAACCTACTAACTGGAACATCCATGCCGTCATGGTCATGACATGCTCACATGTCTCGTCACCTATCAGGAAAACAAGACAACCACACCAGGTACCTGCAAATATCCTTCGCATCCTCGTAGTAAATTTCCAGAGTCTGAGGGCTAAACGGGCATCCTTCTGGCTGACTTTGACTAAAACCAAGCCAGACATCATCATTGGCTGTGAGACATGGCTCTACCCTGGTATCCATGAAAAGGAAGTTCTCCCAGCTGGATACTACTTCGTAGCCAGGAAAGACAGAGAGGCAAATCGTTATGGTGGTGTCATCATCGCTGCGAAAGACAATATATGCGGCACTGAACTAGACACAGAATCAACATCAGAGATAGTTGCAGCTTCCTTCAATGGTCTAAACAACAGTCAGCTTGTCATCTATTCTACATACCGCCCACCAAGCAGCGACCTCACTTACATGGAAAAGCTCTGCACAGGCATCAAGAAGCTACACACAGAGAACAAGAACGCCACCATCTGGATTGCAGGTGATATGAACCTACCAGATATTGATTGGACCTTAAACTCTGTGGATGGGTCAAACTACCCTAAGAACATTAGCCAGTGCATGCTTAACACTATGTATGACATTTCATCTGAACAGATTGTGGATTTTACAACCAGAGGCAATAACACCCTGGACCTCTTCATAACAAATAGACCTTCACTTATCGAACGTAGTAATGCACTCCCAGGACTCAGTGACCATGACATGATCCTTATGCAGGCCAGGACTATAGCAGCACGAACAAAAGCAACACAGAGGAAGAAACTTTTGTGGAAAAGGGCTGACCAGACCACCATACGCTCCGCTGTACAAGATTTCTCAAACAGCTTCATACAGGACCACTCTGCCACATCTGCTATTGACAACATGTGGACCGACTTCACATCTGCAATCTCACAGATCATAGAAACCACGGTCCCATCCAAGATGTCAACAACTAGGCACAACCAACCTTGGATCACAGCAAAGATCAAGCGCCTTTCTAGAAAAAAGAAAAGAGCATTCAAGAAAGCCCAGTGCCCAGGGACAGCAGACGACATAAAGCGGTACAAAGACCTTCAAAAGGAGCAACACTATGAATGTCGGAAGGCAAACCAAGCCTATGTAAGAGACATGGTTACAGAAAACCCTAAGAAGCTCTACACTTTCATGAAAGGGAAGCGGTCTGACAGCACGGGAATCTCTCCACTAAAATGTGATGGTGTAACTCACAGCGACCCGAGTAAGAAAGCTACAATATTGAACAAACAGTTCACTGGGGTGTTCACTACAGAAGACACAACAGATGTACCAGCCATGGACGGAGAAAGATACCCAGACATGCCTCACTTCACAGTAGGACCTGAGGGCGTTAAGAAACTTCTCCTCAGCCTCAACCCAATAAGGCCTCTGGTCCTGACAATATACCTACACAATTCCTGAAGGACTATGCCGAAGACATTACTCCGGCTCTCACCCTCTTGTTCAACGCCTCTTTACAACAAGGAACAGTACCTTCAGTCTGGAAGAAGGCAAATGTATCACCTATATTAAAAAAAGGTGACCGTAGCAACCCTGCCAACTACAGACCCATTTCTCTCACATCAGTATGCAGCAAACTCCTAGAACACATCCTACATAGCCAAATTATGAAACACCTTGACCATCACAACATCCTTTCAGATCAACAACATGGATTTAGAAAACAACGCTCAACTGAAAGTCAGCTTCTTCTTACTCTTCAAGACCTGTCATCAGCCCTGGATCAAGGGGAACAAGTAGACGCCATACTACTAGACTTCAGTAAGGCGTTCGATGTTGTGCCTCACCAACGACTCCTCTCCAAGGTAGATCACTACGGCATCAGAGGGACAGCTGGATTGAGAGCTTCCTGTCTGGCCGCAGCCAACAAGTTGTCGTTGAAGGCCATTCATCTGCATCCTCCCCAGTTACATCCGGTGTACCCCAGGGGACAGTACTAGGTCCTTTACTGTTCCTCTTTTACATCAATGACCTACCAAAGTGCGTGACTTCAATCAGCCGCCTATTTGCTGACGACAGCCTGATCTACAGGAAAATCAAATCAGAAGCTGACGCAGTAGCCCTCCAAGAAGACCTAGATAGACTCTAGGAATGGGAACGCGACTGGATGATGTCTATCAATCCCAGCAAATGTGAAGTCATACACATCACCAAGAAAAGAAGCCCCATCATTTATGCTTACAAGGTCCATCAATCAACTATTCAATCTGTCAAAAGTGGAAAGTACCTTGGTGTCAACATCGCTAATAATCTTTCATAGAACATACATACAGAATCTACCATCAAAAAGGCCAACAACTCTCTATCATTCCTCAGAAGAAACATCACAAGCTGCCCACAAGACATCAAGGCCCAGGCCTACAAGACCCTTGTTAGACCAATCCTGGAGTATGCAGGCACAGTCTGGGACCCACACACAGCCAACAACATCAACCAGCTTGAAGCTGTCCAAAGGCGAGCTGCCCGATTTGTAAAAGGCGACTACAAAACTACCAGCAGCACCACTGCAATGATGACAGACCTAGGCTGGCCAACTCTACAGCATCGCCGCTCAAATGCCAAGCTAGTGATCGATGGTCTACAGGATCACGCAGAATCTCATGGCAATCCCAGGTGCACAGTACTTCCATTCTCCTGAAACTTGGTGTCAATGGCTACGGTCCAACTCTGAAGAACTGACACCGTGAAGTTTTCCTTTGTACCCTCGGCCATCCGCCTGTGGAACTAGCATCCAGAGCACCTACGCACAGCAGTCAATCTTGGAGCCTTCAGGGAGGACTAGTCACGGGGCCCTAATATGCCGGAGTTGATTTTATTTTTAACATGTTCTTCTTATAAATCTGCACTTATTCGCCGCACAACACTTTGTACATACACCCTGTACGTCAATGCTCCAGAGTGGGTTATGTACAGTATTGGAAGAAGAAGAAGAATAGTTTTACAAAAAGTACATTTTTTACCAGGGTATTAGGGATTGGAACATGCTCCCACTTGATATTAAAAAGAAAAGTAACTTTTTAACTTTAAAAAGAAAGTAAAAGCTGAACTAAGCAAAAATATGAAACAATTTGAACAAGCTGATTTTATTTTTTATTAGTTTTAGAGATAATTGTTTTAATCAATATAATATGTTTTATATAAATGTATCTTGTGATTGGTTTTGTGATATATATAAATAGATATCTTTCATTGGTGTGATAACTAGTCATATTCATAGTATTATTCCTGCAAATATGTGATATATGTAATTAACAAAATGTGCAATAGAAATTAATATTATTTGATCTTAGAAATTTAACATCAGTCCAGTATATCATCTCTAAGTATGGACCTGAATGCCAGTTCTCAAGAAAATATTTTCTTTACCATCAAAGGACCCCATTGGAAATAAGTTCTCTATTTTATATTGAACTTTCATGGGTTATCCTGTGTTGTATATATTGTTTTGAAGTCAACAAGATCTTTGATTTAATTATGAATGTAAAGTTATTATTTTTCAATTAATTACTGTGTTAAAAACAATGTGATAGATATATCTGTGATAAATTGTCTTGATTTGTTTTGTAATATGACATATATATATATACACAAATAAATAAATCAATCAATCCTTGAATGATGATTTAATCAAATGAAGTCAAAAAAATATTGTGGTTCAGTTCAGCTGGCCATCTATGTTTAAAACAACTACACACATTTTTGATCGAAAGACTCTTGAACAAGAGGGTCATAATGGTCCTATAATCACTCACCTGAGTAACAATGTTGTAAGACAAAATTCTGAAGTCAAATTTGAGGTTATCCATCTCCAAATAGTTATTTCATGAGCTCAAGTGTACTAGTCGCATAAACTTAAAGATTTGTTTTTATAAACATTAACAGGTTATTGGGTTACAGTCAGTGTATGTACAAAATTCAAATCTGTCAAATTATAATTATTTGAATTTTAAGTTAAGTACACGAAAACAGCACATGCATTTACGACGGTAATTATTATAAGAAAATCTTCGATTTTGTTTTTGTATGAAAAAAACGAGAATCTTAAATGAATTCATTTGGCAGAATTATGAACACGCATCGACAATTTGTTCCAGTTTTGTACATGTATATATATAATATATACACGTGACACAATAACGATAAATAATCAATGAGAACGTGCCTTGTGCCGAATATTCATTTTGTATTGTCATTTACAAGTATTCTATGACACCTTTAACCATATGATTTAATTGGGGCTATTAACGGTAATAAGGGAAATATAATTTCACTCGACATCTTTTCTTTACATATTTGTCCAAGAGACAATACTGGAGATATTGTTACATTCACTTGATTATGCTTTACCTTTCGGCGTTTCTTCTTTACAGCCCTGTAGTTATTTACTGATCTGTCCACGATCCAATAGAAAATTTGTGCACATAAGATTTACTGTTAAATGATAATGGTGAAGACAGAGGTTGATGTTTTACGGATAAAATTAAAGTTCTCTGCATTTTCCTCTTTACAGAAAGTTACTTTTAATCCTTACTTTAGTAAATTCAGTGCTGTTATATTGATCATTGAGTTCTGCACATTAGAATTCCGCTTCAGCCGGAGATAGGGCACGTTAGTGATATTGCAGCCCACCTTTTCATCATCCGTCAAGAACAGTCTCAATAAAACTGAGTCTGCAATTTCCATGTAAGTTTGTTGTTTTCATTTGCTTCCGAGGGGTTACAACTTTTCCATTTTTGTATATGTAAGGTAAGTAACATATTTGATCATTGTGACAAACACAACATTCTGGTTTAAGTACAATGGAAATTGTTTGAGGCACATGGTTTGTATAAAACCTAGCAATGACCTTGGTAAATCTTCAAAAGAAGAAAAATAAACAAAGCAAAAAACAACAAATAATAATACTTATACATTTTTTAGCAAAGCCTTTACGGTATGTTGGGTATGTTGCTGCATAAGCTGTCACAATTTGGCAAAAGAGGTAACTTTTTACGGTAGATAATTGCATTTCTAGGTCATGATATTTTACAAAAAATGCCAATAATGTTGTAGAATTAGTTATATTAATCCACACTTACAGCCATACACCAGGCTATTAAGACTTTACTTAAATAAAGCATATCATCTTTAACACTTCTCAAATGATATAATCAGATGATAATACATTATTTGTTTTTGCCTGTATAGGCTACCTGTGCAATACTCTTCCAAAGAACACAAAGTTTCTTAATTAAAATCGAAAACAAGAATCCCTAATGAAGAACAAAACGGCAAAATTGAAAATGTTGTAGAATCAGTTTAATTGAGCCTGTTCATGGACGGTAAGTACTGTCATGTACAAAACTACCGTCCACGCCCCCGCCAGCACCGGCTTCAACAGAATCCAACACTTCAACATGTAAATGGTGAAATTTTGAATTAAGAAATGCCCGCAGAAATGTTCATCAAGTCAATGCTTGCTATATTTTCTTTGACTGCTCCACAAGTCTTTTTTCTCCCATACATGTATATAACAATCTTTTATCGGCACTAAACATGAACAACGTTTAGGTTTCTGTTTTAAAATGTTAAAAATTTCACCTATTTATAATATGATGTTGCTAGGCCAGCTAAGGTGGACTGGGTAGCTCCGGGGGTTAAGCACACAATTGTTGTTTTTTTCGCATGGCCATCAAACCGATTGCTATAATGAATTATGGTCCGCCTCGTCCAAACATGCGGTCCGCCCTGGTACGATCCTACGACCGCTATAATGACGTAGATAGTTTTGTATACTTCAGTTATATGTAAAAACATTAGGATCTAACTTCATTGGCTAGCTCATTACTTATTTTCTGTTGACTGTTGTTTATTGTATTGTGGTCTATGATATTGCAGAATAAAAAATAAATATCAAGACACTCGCACAATTGTGCTCATTTATTTGGCACCCGAATTTTTTTCTCTCAAAATTTAGCGTTCTTATACGTAGCATTCAAGGAAGACCGCCATAATTGAAAGGCTTGAAAGTATTTCAATTCACATGGCATTATTGATAAAGAAAAAGAAATTAAGTAGAAAAAAGATGATCTGATTTAAGGAATAACGAGGAGAAATCCCATTACAATGTATGTTGCTAACAGGAAATCAAGAAACATGCATTGTTTATGTCGGTCAAAACCAGGTTGTTGATTTCTCCTGCAAAACCAAAAAAAAAAAAAACAAAAAAAAAACAACAACAACAAATGTACGTTGTATTTTTTGTTTGAATATTATGAACATTAATAACAAAACTAAATGCAAGAAAAAATTAACGAATTATTTGCATGTATCCACAGTATTTCCGTATTTCTTACTGTACGTCTGATAATTGGTCTGATAAACTAATTGTACGCAAATATTTTGGTTCCTTACGATGAGTT